GGTCGGACTCTAGAGGATCCCACTATATATGAATGTATGTATATATATGCATATATATACTTGTATATATTACATATATATATTTATATATATATATATATATATATATATGTATATATACATATATTTATATATATATATATATATATATATATATATATATATATATATATATATATACGTGCGCTTGTGTGTGTTTGTGTATTCGTGTGTTGATGTGTGTGTGTGTATGCCTAAGTACATGTACATCATAGCTCGTCAACCACACACTTACCGGGACTACTCCAGAGCACAAACCACAGCCCTGGGTTGCCGCAGACACTCTGCATGCCGAGCACATTAGCGAAAAAACACCCTGATATGAAAACAGGTGTATATGTCAGTATACATGCAGAATGTCCAATCTGAAACTTGTAATATTTTCTGTAGACATATACTTAGACAAATTACGCACATATGATATGTGCACAGGTCAATGTGGTTGTGGAATGGCCCAATGTAGAGTTTTAGCGTTCCATCCTAACGTTGTGAAACCGGAGCGGCTCACGGGTTGATATACATTTGCGATATGTCATTGTAGCAGCAAACTACGTAGTATGGCAAAATACGTGTTTGCAGGTGAATTGATTGCGAAAATATATAATTCCGCGAGGCCTCAGTGAACTAACACCTCAAAATTGCAGAGACTGCGTGCAAAGTGATACGCCTGAAAGTGGAGGAATAAAACAAGCCGTTCGTCTGACGTGTGTGTAAGTGAGTACGCGTGCGCAGGGGATAGTATGCAGCTACAGGCATCTGAAGTGGATGTAATGCAATGTGTTTGAGATCTATTCAAGTGCATAACAGAGACATCTACAACCACAGGCTGCGCATGAGTCAAGAGGAATTCGTTGGTTTGCATAGATAAGCTTACGATGCTTATTGAACTTATGTTAGTATCACCCGTTCAAACGAGTCACAAAAATGCGAATAACATAGACATTGGGCGTATGCCAATAAATTCATAGAAAATTAAATAGTTGTACGTGCATAGACTTTCATAACATACGCTATGTATATGAGAATAGTTGTACGTGCATAGACTTTCATGACATACGCCATGTATATGGATCCTATTGCTGAAACAACACTTGTAGCTGACACGGGAATAGCACGCAAACGTATATGATATTTCTGTATTTGATTGTTCCTTCGCCTGAACGTGAACTAGGACAGCTCGTGACGGCGTATAAAGGCCTGTTTGTAGCGTTGCGATGATTGTCATACTTATCGAATCACCAGTTACTCTACATGCCCACCACTCAACCAGTTAGTCCCCTTGGCCGTGTGATGTGTCATATAACGACATGAGGGGTATGCGTAATGTGATATTCGGGACGGATGTACAGTAAGCTCATAACTGTGTGGAGACTGACATGCTTGTTAGCGAGTCGGCTTCTGTTGGCCTGTCTCCTGCTACTAACAATACAACAGTAGTTGCCGCGAAGCCACGTTCAATTCTCAAGAAATTCAGACGGGTGGTCTGCTTACTGGAGGTCTACATTGGTTGCGCATGTGTGGCACCTTGACAGCCGGATAAGACTGCCGCCAAGGAATAGGAATGTACAATGCGAGGCATGGCAAAAATAAATAAACCCTAAACCCTAAAACCCTAGAACAAAAGCCGAAGCGGTGGCTGTTAACTTGTTTATTTCCGTCTCCGGATTACCTGTCACGACTCCTATCTGGTGAAGGGTCCCCAGAGAGCCCCTCAGAGTCACTGGCGCGACATTGTTGATGTACAGTGGCACGGAATTGCAGCAGATTCCTGTCGACAGTGAGAGGGGATTCACCGTTGAGTTTGGAAACGTGTTAGATTCGATACACAGGAAAGTACCCGTGCTAAACGTTAACGTGGAATACGCAAACTCTATGAAGGATAAACAAAGTGATGGACCCCAAATCCAAATATGCAACCAAATCTACAATGCAAAATTAGGTTAAGGCCTATTAAGCCAAGAATACGCCGCATAAGATGTAATGCAGTTGCCCCCAGTAACTCCCACCACAACCCTACTGTACGTGATAATACACATGCGGTTATAGACGATAGAACCCGGTATGACAATAAAGCCGGTGCGAATGAGTATCGTTCTGGGTGTTACTAGAGCTCGCCTACTCCACAACTGAGCAGCACTTGCAGAGCACTCAGCATGCCTCTGCCCTCCATAGGTCCCAACACACAGCCACTGTCGCTTTAACATCACGCATTCGGCAATAGACAATAGAACCTCAACAGATGATAAAAACAGTGTTACTGTTAAACGTGAACGAGAATCGTTGCCAATATCATCCCAACCCCCAACAACCCCCAACAACTCGCATGCTGCACTTTCCCAAAAGTACAATCGCACGACCGCTTTGCTACCGTTCACATTGGCAAGAATTCACATCGCAGTGCTTGAACTTCATCTGATACTGAAATACATACGAGAACAGGTACCATCACAGATATCACCATAGCTTACCTACTCCCACACCGAGAAGCACCCGCCCAATAATCAGCATATTGCTGCCCTCCGCAAGTCCCATCACTACACCACACATAATGAAAATCATGTCGGTGTAGATAGCGGCCCATTTCGGCCCAAAATTTTGGCATAGTGGGCCACCTAAAATAGAGCCAACAACCCCTCCGATGCCGAAAAGGGAGGCTACCCATGCCAAATCCCCCGTTGTTAGGGGTGGATTGAAGGTGGGTGCCTGATGTAGGAGACAACAGAGAAAGGCGCAAATGTTCGAAATGAGATATACGGGTAGGGGAGAGGACGATCTGAGTTGAGGTTCCCATTGTCGTGCATCTCGAGGTAAGTAGGGCAAAGACATCAAGGGCACTGTATATATATGTATATATATATATATATATA